GTCCTCAACCCTCGATTAATTCATATCATCATCATCTCACTCTACCCCTCTCCCACTCAACTTTTTTGGGGACAGCTTCTGTAAGAATTTTACTGTAATCGCTCCTTCTAAACGAAGAGGGTAGGGCAGAGATTAAAAATCTCACAACCACTTTAACCAGGTCCACCACATCGGACCAGGACCACCACAATTTTTAAGAGTCAAAATCAATCAAGTAAAAATCAATTCAGCCATATTGTAGGAGATTTAAACCCGACCGCAATTTAGTTTGGGAAAAACGCTCGGAGGAAGAAGGCCTCTTCTATTATTAGCAACCGTATATTTTACATGTTTTCGTCAAAAAGTGAAGTACTTATGTAATTATTTGCTTTCCTTAATTTGTTTGTCAAAGGTAAAGCCATATCTCTGCTAATATTAAAAATCTTAATTACATAAACATACCGACGCATATTAGAGTGGTTTCGCACTACGTCTGATTCGAACCCGTGAGAATACGGACCTAGAAATCTCGGGTTGAATGCGGATATTTCTTTTTGCACTACCTCTCGTATTTTGATCCCTGATTACGCATCAAATTCAGTCAGTCACTGGTCCTTTCAAATCCCGGATTTGTATACTGTTTGCGATCTCTGATTCGAATTTAAGAAATTCAGGGCTCGCCTTTTAGCATCCGTCATTTTACGTTACGCCACAGCAGATCGTTCACGCCGTTGATCAAGAGTCCTTTCGATCGTCGTCAACTTCTGGCAATGTTATTTATTACGAACGAGACAGAAGAAGTAAATAATTCTGGGTGCGTTCATACATATAACAGTATAGCTACTTTCTTCCGTCAATAATCCTCTCCGGACTAGAGATTCCCGAATAGCGGAAAGAAATCGAATGACGGACGTCGGATCCAGTGCGTAAACTACTAGAAATAGTTCTACGACTACTGCGGGCCGTATTTTCACGGGTTCGGATCGGATTCTGATCGAAAGTCATGCGAAACCACTGTTAGGGGTAATCAGAAGCGTATTATTTAAAAGCTCACATTTTGACAACTATTATTTTTGTCCTACTTACGAGTACGAATAGGGGTAAGTCTATTCCCGTCAGTTGAACACTAAGATGTTTTTATCAGTATGTTTTTGTTAAGGGCAAGTCTAAAGAGGATGCTGTACTGGACCTCACAGAGTCAGTAAAAATAAATAATAAAAAAGCGATAAAAAAATAACGCCATAAGTAACAAGGAAAAATAAAGCTTGGCCGTCCTTCTTTGGTGGGGGTGAACTACGGTCCATCCCCACCAAAGAGGAGCTCTCGCCTAGCAACATCCTGACGGGAAGCTACAGCCGATCGACCAAAGATGGCTAGCCTTTAGCCTCCCGTGTAAGGGGAAATGCAGTCCAAAGCAGTGTGTTGCCTTTCGGCGCAACTACCAGGATCCCTTCATCCCCCGGTGTTTCAGTTATCTCTATTTCGTAGGGAATCAGATCCAGAACAGTGGCACCTAGACTTGCAATGGGGATCTACACGACTGTACTCTCCCCCATGACTATTTGCCGGGTACCAAACCGGGTTCCAAATGTGTACGCCCGGAGGAACTGCTCCAGCCGATCTTGGCCTATTCGAGCACACTTAAACCCACCCGCAGTGGTAGGAAAGGCATATTATGTTACGAACCTGCATAGGTTTAGTTATAAGCCCGTCTGGTGATGGCAGATTGGTCAATAGCCTTGCAATAGGGATATAAATATATTTACGACCTTTCACTTAGGTCATCAGAGTAATTTCGTTTCTGTTGTTCAAGTCTCGTTGTTTTAAAATATGATCACTATACACAACTTTAAAAACTAAACTAAACTTTAAAAAAAGGAGTTGGAGTTTTTACTAATGAATTGGGGAATGTAAGCAATAGCTCGAGCAGAGGGCCTAGTGTGAGTTTATTTCACATCCATTTTATCGTTAAAGAGACCGCCATCGACGTTGCCATTGCTGAAGAGTTCAGTGTGGGAAAATTGCAGCGAAGAACGCGCTCGCCGTCGAAAGAGTGAGTTGGTGTGGAACAAACTTACAGAAAGCCCTCAGGTCAGGGTACCTGTATTTGGAATTGGTTATTGCCGGGAAGTCCGAGCCCTTGCCTATATATATCTTTTAGTTTCTATGAGCACATTCTCTCACTTATTATACCAGTTATATACTAGTTCGCTACTTATTTATTATTGCCGGTATTGCCGGGCCGATACGACCTTCAAACCTTCAAGAAAAGAGCTTACCATTTCTTAAAAGGCCGGCAACACGTTTGTGATTCCTGAGTTGCAGACGTCCAAGGGCGGCGATGGTCACTGTTCATCAGGTGACGCGTCTGCTCGTCTGTCCCCTCTAACATAAATTTAAAAAAATTGGTCTACGTAAAACGGCGATACTTGTAAGTTTTAAGGTATAGCATAGATACCTGACCTACATACAAAAATTCTATATTAGATATGTCCCTACTAGCTATTACTAGCGTGATTATTTCTTATTTCCAGTTCCAAACATAAAAATGATGGATGGGATGAAGTTTCAAAAAATGCTTACAAAATACAAAGCATTTTTTGAAATTTCAAATTTGTAAAATTTTAATTTGTAGCCCCACCGTTCTAAGCTCTGCGTTGATGAATTAGTCAATCAGTCACAGCACGTAATGTTATGTACCTATTGATAAAACAAAAAATATTTGCTAAGTATAATTACCGGTTATTTGCACAATGGATATCCAAATAGACAAACAACATGATATTAAAAGCAATTTTTTTTTAAGTTCGTTATAGTAAACTGTAATTATCATCAGGACTCATCTGTTAATCACTAATTTGTAAAATATGGATTATCATATGAAATACTAAAAAATATATTAAGGCATATATATGTACACCTACGGTTATTACCGCGATCACGTAATACTCAACTATTATTTTTAGGCGTTTCATTCGCTTATTGCGGCCACTGCTGCCAATATAAACATGTAACGCGAATGTATAAAAGTTAGTAAATTATCAAAATTGTTAAATAATCGGAATCAATGATTCCTGCGACACTGAAGAATAGAAACACAATACAAAATAGAAACATAAGTTTTGATTGCATAACTCACTCAACTAAAAATATCATTGGAGTGTCTTTAGAAATAATAGAAATTCACAGTGACCAAGGAAGAAATTTTGTGTCTCAAATAATTCAAGAGACGTGTCGAGTGCTACCAAAACCAGAACTACCTCTTACCACCCACAATCGGACGGAATGGTGGAACGATTTACCTTAACACTGTCGAGGTATCTGGCAAAAGTTGTGGCAAGTAGGCAAAGAGACTGGCACAAACAAATCCAACCGTTTCTTCCGTCATACCGAACTGCAGTCCACGAAAGTACTTCAGTAACACCAGCTTTGGCAAACTACGGTACGATACGAAGAGAACTACGGTTGCCTTCAGATTTGATCACTGGAATACCCCCTGACGCCCCGCGCCGTATAACGGAGTACGCGAATGATTTGTGAGCATGTCAGATAGACGACGATACGAGATATCCGATGGGCCTGTTGGTCTAGTGGTTAGTGACCCTGACTGCTAAACCGGTGGTCGTGGGTTCCATTCCAACCCAGGACAAATATTGTATAACGAGCACGGTCATTTGTTTTGTGTCTGGGTGGAATTTATGTATAATATGTATCTATTTAAAAATATAAGCATGTTTATCAGCAGTCTGGTTATCATAGTACAGGCTCTGCCAAGTTTGGTATCAGACGGCCGTGTGTGAGATGTGTGAGATATACGAGTATTTTTTATTATTATTTATATTTATGTGACCCGGATTATTGCTCTCGAGTGTGGGTGCGAGGCTCTAAAACAGTAGCGCGCAACCCATGGAGGTCTGGGGCTGTCTAATAATCCTCCTAAATTGATACATGAAAGTTATGAAATGACCGGAACCAGTACCGGCCCCAGTGGTGTAATTTATCTATAATATGTATGTATTAAGAAATATATAAGTATGTTTATCAGCTGTCTGGTTATCATAACAGCACCCAGGACGTTCAAGGAGTACAACTGCTCGACAGGACCAGTACATACAACTGATTGCAAGACGTGAGTCGATGTTAACCGCCTCGGAGATAGGTTTAAAGCTACATTCTTGTTGTTAGCCACCAAACCGTGAGTAATAGGCTGCATTAATACGGACTACTAGTGTGACGCCCAATTAGGTGTCCACCTTTACGCCATGGGAATCGCGCTCGTCGAAGTGAATGGTGTAGGGAACACTTGACATGGACCCAGGAGCAATGGGATAACATTTTATTTTGCGATGAGTCCCGGTTTGGATTTAGGCATAAAACGAGAAGGGTAAGAGCATATCGTCATCCCGGCAATGCTAAACAAGGCTCCATAGTGATAGTATGGGCGGGTATTATGAAGAACAGACAATCAAAGCGCGTTTTTGTATATGGCAATATAAACCCTGAACTTACGATGAAGATTTCTTCGGGCCTTATGATCACCCATTTGCACAAAATCTTGGCTCAGATTTCACGATCAGCGTGAAATCATGACAATGCGCGCAGAGTACTTGGCAATTGAAAACATCCGAGTACATACATAAGTGTATGTAAAATGACAAATTATCTGAGATTAGGTAGTCCAAGGCGCATCTTGGGCCTTCGTTTAGCAATGGACGTCCACTGTGAATGAACGCCGTTTACAAGATTTTCCTTCCTAGTGTACCTGCCCAAGAAATATTTCGAAATGAAACGGTAGGATTTACGATTAATATTTTCAAAGAACTAACTCTTGCCGTAAATAATGAATGTGTTTAATTCAAAGTATGTTTGTTCTGATACAAAAATAAAATATTATTATAATGTTAGCAATATTTGCTCGAATTGATTAAATAAATATGTAACATATGCAACATATGTAACATATCCATCAACGAAAAGAATATATCATAAATTGTAAAATAATTGGTTCACTCCCCGTGTCTTCATTGTGTCGCTTTTAGCACAAATTTTAAAGGAATTCCACCTTTTATGTTCTGGACTAATGCGATAGTTGGGTCCGTGATAAGGTTCCGGCGACTATTCACAGATGGCACTATCGTATACTTTCTAAGGATCGTCGCCAATGCTAATAGTGACTCCAGAATGCCAAGACGCATGCCTGTGAACAAAAGTGTTTTTGTAGGTAAGACAATTATTTACTAAGTGCGCTAAGTGATAAGTGTTTTTCGTTCTGATCCCTAACTAAGTGCGAATACATGTCTTCCTTAATTTTATTTACATGTCTCTAATCACTCCTAAAGAGCTGAGAAGTTTAGCCGCTTTAAGCCATATTTGTTCCTCCAAATATTTCTCAGTTATCAGGCCATAGACGAGATAGTATATAAAATAAAGTATAATTATAAAGAATGTCACTTTTATTAAATAAAGAACAATGGCAGAAACATATTTATCTAAAACTTAAGCGTTTAAAAAATCGAGTCACAGTAAACTTAATCAATATTTTTTCTTTGACTTATCATTACACCACCATGTGTTGTATAAGTCTTATAAGAGATAAGATATTTTTGTAGATTTTATTTGACCTAAGTACGTAATGTCAGATTCGCCATCACGTATAACTGACTAGGGATGCGTGGTGGCAATATTATACTATGGCACATTTTATCGATAATCGATTCTTATAGCTTTGGCTAAAATATTTACCGAAGGTTCACCTATTATGATTATGAATTTGCTTCTGCCCTCGTCTTAACTCGTACGGTAGAGTGACTGAATCAACATTAGAAATGATTTAAAATATTTTTGACTCTCTTTAAACGATTTTAAACACACTAAACAAATAGAATATAGTTACGTTATTTTCCACTACACAGTGTGATGAGAAAAATACATTGTCATTGATAACGGCACATAAATAGACATACATCGATATTTTCAAAATGTCGATACGTCGTCGTTTAGATCCTGTCATGTTCCGGACTCACCATGTTTGTTATTTTATTTTTGTTTAATTTAGTGTTAAACTCGAATAGATGTTATGCTTTTATTTTTTTTATTTCATATACTGTAATAATAATGAAAAAAATATTTTCGGCTATCTGACACACAACGCCATCTAGTTTCAAACAAAACATTAACAATATGTTAGTACTTAACCTCGAAACATTCTAAATCCAATATCTTTTTTCCTAGACTTCTTTCACAAGTAATTTTGATATGAGAATGGTCAAGAATAAATTCTCAAGTGTTAAGGATTTTTTGATATTTAAACGCTAACATTTCAGTTCAAATAAAATTATGTATGGGGACCTGCCATTGTCCTTTGAATTTCAAACCAATCAGCGAGGAAGTTTCGTCCAAGCCTTCCTTCTTTCTCCACAACTTTGTTTGCTTAGAGAAATTAAAATGGTTCATCCTGATGCCAAAAAATAGTCTTTTCGTTCGTTTATGCTTTACGAAAGAGATTTTTTTCTATCAACGTTATACTATTACAGTAACAGTATTATTATTCTACCATTGCTCAATTTAATCCTCTTAACACGTTTTTGAAAAGTGTAAATAAATAGGGAATATGCATGTATTTTTTTAATTTTTTTAAACGATTCTACTAGTTATCACATTACCAAAAATAAATATAACACATCCGAAATATAAACCGTTAAGCAAAAAAAAAATTTATTAAAATCACTATCATTTTGGGGCAATTTGAACACGTCCATTTTGGCGCCCTTTTTTTATGACGTCAGATTACACTTTCAGACGAATTCGATGTCAACAACGGAGTGAAGTTCACAAAGTTTGTGAAAGTTAAAAAAGTGAGTGATAAAAATTAACTTATTACCATGGAAAAGCCAATAAAAACTTATTATATATTGTGCCGTTCCTTTGTGCCCAAATAATATCAAAACTGCACCTGACAAAGTATATTTAGTCATTGTGTTGTCTTTCTACACGGGAATTTAATAATTTAACACTGAAAACGTATTAGTTATTAACTTAAAATGAAACAAATAATCACCAGAAACCAAATATTACAAATACACACAACTTGTTGACACTCTTGACAGTGTAGGTTGACGTCACGCTTTATTCAACCAATAGCGTTGCGTTTTAGAAATTTGCGAGGGAATCTTAAAAAAAACAATTTTTGATGATTAAATTTCACTATTAAATTATAATAAATTTCAAAAATAATTGTATGGGTATCTTTTTTTAGCAATAAAAATTACAAATAAAAATATTTTGTCCATTTTGGTGTCACGTGCATATTCCCTATTATCTAAATATTGCCACGGCCTACGAATGCCTACGGCTAACGGCCTAGAACACAATGCTGTGAAAGTATGCGATATGTTGACTTAAATCCCTGCAGGTACATTAGTTGAAGTAAAGATAATGCTAACCAGCATGCTAACCTTCAATCAACTTATAATTAGGTTAAGCAAATCCGCTGAGTTGTGTGGGTTCGATCCCCACATGGACAACACTTAGTGTGATCCACAAACTGTTGTTCTGTGTCTGAGTCTGGGTTTTTTTTGTATTATTATTTTGTGTTCGTTTCATGTATGTTCGTTAAGTCCCCCGTGACACAGGACTCGTAATATGTGCCTAATGCGGAGTTGTCTTTCATAAAAACAAAAACAAAACAAAAATATTTGAATAACTATTTAAACGTTATAAATAATGAATAATTATGCACTTATAATAAATTATAAGTAAGTATCAATACATTTAATGCATAAGAGTAATTACCATTTATGATTCAATAAGTGCAATTTGATTAAAACGTAAAACATACCTAAGCAAATCCTCGGTCCATCCCCAAATGGTAAGTACGTATACTTTTTGATATTATTCATATTTTTAGGATCAAATCTTTCGGGAATAAACTGATGAGGTTCTTCAAAATGCTTTTCGTCGTTCTGAATAGCTTGAACTGGTATAAAAACAGAAATGCCTTTGTCTATTGTCAAATTTGTTTCTGGAAACGTATATTTCTTTGCACATTGTCGTACGAAAAATCCTATTGGAGGATACATTCTCAAACCTTCCTTGAATACCATTTCCAGATATTTCATTTTCATAACAGCTTCGTAAGACATTTCGCCGTGTTCTTTCAAAACTGAATCAATTTCTACTTGACATTTTTTTTGTACTTCTGGATTATAGGCGAGTTGATTCATTGTGAAGCTTAATGTAGCTGCTGAAGTTTCATATCCTGCTGCGAATAATATAAAAGCTTGAGCAATCAAAAGGTTATCATCAAAACCTATTTCACATTTCTCTGGTAATCCATTCTCGTCCAGTTTTGTTAAAGATCCGCCAATCAAAGTCTGCTTATTACGTAACTCTAGAAGTAAGTCAATAAAATCTCTTCGGCCTATCGGTTTGTAGTCCCTGGCCTTAATAATGCTTTTTACTATGTTGGTAATATAATCTTCAATTTCAGGAGCGAATATCCTGAAGTTTTTAAAAGTATCTGTTGCTATAAATTTTGACGCAAATACCAATTGATCTCTTAACTTTATATCAAAGATTCTCTTTCCAAGTTTTCTGAAAATCGAGGATTCATCGTTCAAAGAATTCTCATCAACGCCAAATCCGCAGGCAACGATTGCATCTGTCGTAAATCTTGCCATTAAATCCCGCACATCTACTTCCTCACATTTAGCGGTTGCTTCATAAACGATTTTTTCTAATCTGTCAGCTTGTTGCTGCAGTACGGGATACATCGCCTTGAGCTTACTCGTCGTAAACCCAACGGTTAACTTTTGCCGTAACACTTTCCACAAATCGCCGTCAGCAGAGAAAATATTATTCAGAAGTGGTTCTGTTTGATGCATATTTATACCTTTTGGATAAAAATGGAGGAAATCTGCCACTAAAACGTGTTTGATTAACTGTGGATCTCGTAACACCAACGCTGGGTGAACCGACTCAAAGCATCCAACGCACTTTGCTTCCGGGAAGTTTCTATAAATTTCTGTCATTTGGTCAGTTGGGCTTATCTTTCCCAAATATTTTCTGAAACTGTTGCCAAAGAATGGGATAGGTCTGCAATAAGGTATTCCTTTTTTATCCCAATATTTAAAGTTTTTTGTACCTTCCATATAAAGCAAGAATAAAATAAAGAAAATTAAAATCAATATAACGGCCATTTTGCCTGATCTCTGCGCTACACTGAGTTGTATTGAGTTTCTTCGTGTATTTAAGTAAGAGCTTTTAATTCAATATCAAATACAAAGACGTTTATTTGAGGTAGCTGGTACAATTATCGTCCGTGTGCATAATTTTTTTTTATTTATTCCTTTGTTGTACAAAATTTAGTGAACAACTGATCAACATTTCGAGGACATTAAACGCGAGTTTATAAACAAGATGGACTTACAATTGGATCATGCGGAGAAAGATAAATTGTACCTGACGAGGAATTGTTTAAATTATTTTTTGTAAATCAACTTACTCGAATGTAATGACAGCTTCACAATTAGGTATAGAAAAGTCTGATTGTGTAATGATATCAAGCACAATGGGTAAACGTTACGGTAAAAGGTTACGTTTACCTTTCAAAAATAAAACTAATATTTAAAACTGTCTTCATTCGTCAATGTTTCAGAATATCCTTTTGAATTCATTGTCGATAATGACAATTGAAAATGATGTATTGGAAAATGTCTATTTTCAAGATATTATGAACGATTTTGTAACCAAAAAAGTAAGAAAAGTTCATATATAAACTTTCTGTACTACTTGATAAAAATCTTACCAATCGTTAATTGTTTAGATATTGCATTGAAATCGTGTCATTTAGCCCATCAATAGATTTATTCTTATGCAGCGAGGGAGCGTTTCTCAAGGCAGCAGGGTGTTGCATGGAGACGTTGACAGTTGCCAGTACTGTACAGATTAATTGATGGCTATCCTAACAGTTCTTTATTATTAATGCTATCTTCTCGTTTTATATTGTGTACGGGTTTTGTTTTACCAAATTTTGTCATTTGTTTTGTGTTGAATTTATTACGTTTGTGTCCGAATATGTACTGTTTTTTACAATTTTGTACTATGCTGATGAATTCTTATTGCAATGTTACCTACTTTCTGTTTTACGACTTCAATGCTTTTTATTTTACAATGTAATGATACTGTAAGTCCATAATCACTTTCTGCGCATGGATTGTTCTGTTAGCATTAAGAGCGCGTATAAAGCCAGCAAAATTTAAGAATTCACCCGCGCTCCCTTGCCCGCTCCCCTCACATCGAAAACGATCGCGCATGTACCTACGCACTCGCTCGACGCGTATCTTCTGTAGTATACGTATAATAATCAGATGAAACAACTGTATTCAAAGTATGACTGCGCTATACAATATTACGAAATGTTTTGTGTACACGAATAATACGTAAATAGTAAGTTAGTAGGAGGTGACTATACCACTGATACTGAACACGAATCAATAAAAATCAATACCAAAAAATAATATTATATTTATTTCAAATATTCAATCAATCAATCATATCAAATATCAATCAATAAAAAATCATAATAAAAATCATATTCAATCGCGTCTTTCTTATCAATATTCCGTAATTGGTATAATAATTTCTTGTAATAAAGGGCTATGGGGTCCAGCTGCAAAATTATTTGAACTAACGAGATCTCGGTCTCCTTCAATTATAAATCTTTCAGAAGCATTACTGCTCGGACCGGGTTGGTCTCGGTCTCCTTCAATTATAAATCTTTCAGAAGCAGTACTGCTCAGACCGGGTTGGTCACGTGATATCACTATCACGTGAGGGCCCACTACATATTTTCTCTTCAGGTTTTTTAAAGATTTGCCGCGTCATACATGGAAACTTTGTTTGATAGATTTAGTGCTTTTGTCACCGACTTCGAATCGTTCCTATTATCAACTAACCTTAACATTATCAACGTGGGCTCGGAGCCGACATTTGTCACATCCAGGGCCCAAACTATAATTGATCTTACATTAGCAAGTGAGCACGCATCGCAACACATATCGAACTGGCATGTTTCGAACGAAGCATCGTGCTCAGACCGTCGCTGGATCAAATTTAACTTTAAATTGAAACTTAAACTACCCGATCCCCGCACAATGGACCGGAAACGGTATGAACATCTTACTGCGGAGAAACTGCGAAGCATCAACCCAACATACGCTACGGGGACTGTTAAGGACATTGACAGTCATGTTGTCAACCTTACACAGACACTGATCGATTGCTTTGAACAAACATGCCCACTTTTCACACCCAGAACTGGACCACAGAACAAACCACCAATGGTGGGGTCCGGCACTGGAAAGACTACGTCGTAAAGTGAGAAAGTTGTTCAATAAAGCAAAAAACTCGCGATTAGACCAACATTGGGATGCCTACACGCAGGCCCGACAACAATATAAGAAGAGAATCAGAACCAGGAAAACTGAGTGCTGGAGCAACTTCTGTACTAACATAGAGAACAACAACCAGGCTAATAGAGTCAAAAACATACTGTGTAGTAGAGGCGAACACAATCTTGGCTCACTGAAGAAGCCTGATGGTGAGTATACGAAAACAGACTCGGAAGCCTCAGAGCTGTTATTAAAAACACACTTCCCTGGAAGTCGCATATCAGATGTGATGGAAAAATGGGAAGACAGATGGGAAAGCCTACCAGATGATACAGACTGGGATACGGCCTGCAAAGTTGTCAACCATGACAAACTAAGATGGGCAATTAACAGCTTCCTACCATTCAAGGCGCCAGGACTAGATGGTGTCTTCCCAGGCCTACTGAGATGGTGTGATATGACACTACTGGACCATCTTGTAAAAATTTATAGGGGCTGCCTTGCGCATCAGTACATCCCCTTGAAATGGAGAGAAGTTAAAGTAGTCTTCATCCCCAAACAAGTCTCACATCTTTCTTACTAAAGGTTCTCGAGAGTCTAATAGATAGGGAAATCAGGGAAACTGCGTTAGTCAGTCACCCTCTACACCTCAATCAACACGCATACTCGATGGGTAAATCAACAGAATCTGCCCTACATCGAGTTGTTTCATATATAGTAGACAATCTAAATCACAAAAGGTCAACACTGGCCACCTTTATCGATATCGAGGGAGCCTTTGACAAGTCCAACTTCACCAGCATTAGCCAAGCTCTGTCTAGGCATGGTGTTGATTCCACAATCTCAGGGTGGATCGACAGCATGCTAAGATATATGGCTATTCAATTCCCTGTGAGCGAAGTGACTAGAGGAGTGGTGGCTAGAGGTTGCCCCCAGGGCGGTGTACTCTCCCCCCTTCTATGGAACATTGTTGTGGATGAGCTCATCGCACAACTTAATGACCAAAGATTCCTCACAATAGGCTATGCAGACGATCTTACTATTCTCATCAGCGGTCCTTTTGAGAGCATTACATGCGATCAAATGAGACTTGCACTGAAGATCGTGGCACAATGGTGCGTAGCACACAACTTGACAGTGAACCCATCCAAAACAAAGATGATCATGTTCACAAACAAACGCAGCCTAGGAAATCTCAGACTTCCCAAGCTATTTGGAACACAACTTACTCTTACCAAAGAGGTCAAATACCTAGGAGTAATATTGGATAGTAAACTCTTGTGAAATAAGCACCTCGATGAAAAACTGAATAAAGCCTGCATTATTTTCTGCCAATGCAAGCGGCTACTCGGCAAAAGCTGGGGACTATCACCCAAAATTACTTTATGGCTATACAGGACAGTCATAATACCATTAATCACTTACGGTGCTGTTGTCTGGTGGCAGAGAACAGAGCTAAGCACTGTCATGCTCCGCGGTTACTGGCTGTATGCGCACAACGCCTACTGCCGCACTGGAGGTGGCTCTTGGTCTGCCACCCCTGGATCTATTTATACAGCAGGAGGCCGCCATGGCGATCATTAGACTCAAACACCTGGGTCTATGGCACAAAAGTGAGGGATCGCACTTCAAATTATGGGATCAATTGGTGGAATACGAACCACTGATAGCAGCTCCATGCGATAGAATCCCAAAACACCATATCTTCACAAGAAGATACTACATCCAGATACATGGAAATGACTGAGATCAATCCGGCATTAACGAAGTCCGAATTTACACGGACGGTTCCAAGACTAGGTCAGGAACTGGAGCCGGAGTTTTCTCGGAAGACCTAAATATAAACATATCACTAGCGTTAGGCCAACACAGTTCCATATTTCAATGTGAATGTGTGGCAATAACTTACGCTGCCACAACGGCCATGTCAAGGGGTATCAAGGACTACAACATCCGAATAATATCCGACAGCATGGCCGTCTTAAAGGCATTGGAGGGCAACACAATGACCTCAGGCATTGTCTTCGAATGCCACCAAGCACTGGAACAGCTCGCTATATTCAATGGGGTACTCCTCCAATGGATTAAAAGGCACAGTAACTCACACGGGAACGATGCCGCAGATGAGTTGGCAAGGAGGGGCTCGGCAACCCCAACCTCTGGCCTAACCCCACTCCTGCCCACATCGTTTAACCAAATACGATGCTGGGTCAGGCAACGGACCTGTGAAGCACACAACCGGAGGTGGAAAAACTCACCCGGCTGCAGACAGTACAAACTGGTGCTGAATCAAGTCACACCACGACTCACCTGCAGACTGATCAGTCTTAGCAGACCGGAAATCAGAATGGTTGTCGGAACTATTACAGGACATCTAGCCCTGAACCGACAACTATTCATAATCAATGCGAAGGACAGTCCCCTATGCAGGGGTTGTCTGGAAGCTGAAGAAACGGCCGTCCACGTAGTCCGAGGGAGTGGCCACACAACGGGCAAGTATCATTCCTGATTTAAAGTCGCTCCTAGAAACCTGTGAACGTCCCAGGAGGCTTCTGCGCTTCTGGAAGGAGCTTGGCTGGCTCACCTAGTCAACCAATCCTCGACGCACAAAGGACCACTCTGAGTCTAAATGCGGAAACCGAAGCCCACAACCATCGACTTCGAAGCTTGACCTTTGTTTGATTGATGTGGTGTTTTTGTCACCGGCTTCTGAAGCTTGACCTTTGTTTGATTGATTTGGTATTTTTGTCAC